AGTACACACTACATTCTACACACACATTTTTAGTATACTACAGTTAATATTTTTTAAATGCCAACTATGATTAGGTATATAAACACACAGAGTAAATAACATATTTATGGTTTATAATATTATACCTTTCAATTTCAGATTCGACATCATTATTCCTAAATTATTAAAAACAAAACTTATTAATTATCATTCAATTTTAAATAATTTCCCTCACTTGGCAATTTTTCATATTAAAATACAAAAAAATAAATATTTTTTAAAATTAATTCTTACCTAATATCTTCAGTCATTAGAAGATATTTCTATCACTTCAATCTCTATAAAAACAAAAAATATATATATAYWAGTGAGCAAAATAAAACTTWGAAAAATAACTAGTTAGTAGGTAAATAAGTTTTACCAGTATCTGGTACCACTTCTGATTCAAAAAATTCTAATTCATTGTGAAACTCTTCAGACTGCTTTGGTGGTCTATGTACATCTTTAGTAGGAATAGCAGTTTCTTTTAACTTCCTTTTACAACGAGGAGAATAATTTAAAAACGTTTCTATCATAGGCTTTACATAGCAATCATCCTCAAAGTGGGCAGAACAAATCCTAGCTAAAATGTATAAGATTAAAATATTAAATAACACATTTTGTACGGTTTTTAATTTTATTTTTCTATGTGTGCTCTGTAAATGTGTGTTAAATGTTTTGTTGTTTTAGCAATTATATTAATKATTTTGTACTTATTATTAAGCCTGTAATTTTTGATCATTAAACCTAATATCTTATATGAATGTAATAAAATTCTTTCTAATGTAGGTACCTACAGTAGATTTTTTCAATGATCATTATATGCGTTATGCAGTCAGTTCACTTGACTTAAATATGGTTGGGATACTTACCAGACTGTATGTTTATATTAGGTTTACCAGCAGCTATAACCCATAGGTTTGGAAAAAAAGGATTTCTTGGAAAACGATGAAACCTATATCAAGAACCTAAATCAGAGGCCTCTATTAAATGGTGTTTGTTTGTCTTACAATGCTTAACAACGCACCACGACATTTTTATGAAGTTTCTTACACTACAATTGGTGGATGAACACAGGACAAAAAAATAACAAGTTGAATACTTGAATAAACATTATTTTTATTGCAGCATAACATTTAACAAACAAATAATATATATAGACATAGGTATAGTTATAGAAATATTGTTTAGTTTTTATCATAGTATTTTCACTATWTGATATTTCATCTYCATACTGGTATATAATATAATTTTTATTAATTATCATAAATCGATGAAATAATATTGTTGGCAACTTTACTGTAGTCAGTAAGTTGTAGTAGTCTAGTAATTTTCCCGCTGAATTTCAAGATTAATTGGCCGATAAAAATCCTTGCCGGCTGACGTCATATTATCATGGAATGAATTAAGATTTGTTCATTATTCTATGAATGCGCTTAAAGAACGGATTTTAGTATTATTGCTGTCATACCTAAGTATTTAGCCATGATTGATACAGTAACGCCAATTCCTAGCATTGAAGAAATTGATAAATTACTCTTGGAATATGAAGTAAGTATTTCAAACAATATTGTTTAGTAATACTGTAATATTATTATTCCTTATCAATTAAAATTTATGTAGGACAATAATATTTCTCATGATGTATCTGCTGACATTGATGGTACTGTTTCAACATTTCAAGAAACACTAAAAAACATTAATTTATTTGAACTTATTGATGATGATCCAATATATTCATATAATCATGAACCTAAACAAATAAATCAAGATCAAAATATTGTGAATATTGAAACAGAATCAATAGATTTAATCACACTTAAGTCTGCAGAATTATACCAAGTAGAACCAACTGAAAGTGAAAATTGTATTGTGGAAAAAAACAATTGAACTCAATTAGACCAAACAGAAAATGAAAATCTGAATGACGATCCTCAAGTAAAGCTTACAAAAAAACGTACAAGAAACTCAGATAATTGGGAAAGAAATATAAAAAAGTTAGCAAAAAATAAAGGTGAAGTGTATGTTAGTGAATCAGGATCAATTTTTAAGTCAAAAGTATTAAAAGCTCCATGTGTAAATTTTTCGATACAGCTGTAGCTCTAACATTAGCTTAGAAATAAAAGAAAAAATTAGAACTAAGTTTCTCCTAAAAATGTTAAAATATTTTAAATTCCAACAGGAAACTTAACAACATGGTTTACTACCTAGAAGCTGAAGAATTTGGTAAATTATAAGTATGCAAAAAGATGTTCGAAGCAACTCTTGTTGTTAGTGACAAAATGATAAGAAACTGTTTCAGTAACTTAGATTCTGAAGGAGTATTGAAACCACTGTAGCAAGGAAAACATAAGAACCATCAAAAAATTTCAGAAGAGATAAAAAAAGGAGTGTTAGACCATATAGACTCATTTCCTAGGATTGATTCTCATTATTTAGGATCACAGACTCAAAAGAGAATTCATTGATGGTGGTTTGACAATTGCAGATATGTATAGACTTTATGCGATACACCAAGAACAAAATGAAAAATAATATGTTCATRAACATGTCTATTATGATTTATTATTTATTAATAATAAACGAAATATAAATTTTTTTGTACCTAAGAAAGATCAGTGCACTATATGTGAGCCATGAAAAAATATCAGTGAAGAAGAAAAAAATCTACAACGTGTAAAATATGATACTCATGTAGTCATGTATGTAATGAAATACACTGCTGTACGGTTAGGCTTCTTTATTTAATACTCGTTACGACACAGGTTTCATTATTTACAAATTAGAGTTCTTTATAGAACAAACTTATACTCCGCACGAGTATACATCAAAACAATTTAATACGGAGCATATGTAAAGCGGGTGGGAATTTGTACACAATTATGTATTATAGACGGTAGAAGCCTGCTGTCTGCCAAGACTATTGTCGGGTGATGCCGCGTTTGAGCTGCTTCCTTGTCTGCTAAGACTGTGGCCGGGTGTTGCCGCGTTTGAGCTGGCTGCCTTGTCTGTGATCCGTAGTCCTTGACGTTTTTCTTCTTCGGTATCGTCTCTCCGATGAACTGGTAATGATGCCGTGGAAATGGCACACTGGGCTACGGGAATACGAGCGGCGCTTCTTAATTGAAGCGCTTGGTCGCTGGGTGAGGAGTCTGTGGCACTTCCGTGTCTAACGGTATATAAAGACCGTCCGGCTAGTGCAGACTCCAGGGAAATTGCTGTTTATCGTTTGATTATCGTGTCCGTGTCTAACGGTAGGTAACTACCGTCCGGCTCACGATGAATCGCATTCAGCGGGGACGAAGGTGATTTTACCGGCCTTGATAGGGCCGGTAAAATATAGGCCGGCCTTGATAGGGCCGGTAAAATATAGGCCGGCCTTGATAGGTGGGCGGCCTATATTTATGTATATCTTGGCCTTCGATATTGGTGGAGAATATGTAGTTGAACTTCTTGTGATTGTGAATTCTCCGGTGGCACTTTAATGTACTATCATGATACGAATTTGTAGTTCAGAATCCGACGATTCTGAATCTACAAACCGTTTTGTTTTATCTCTTATAGTTTTTCCGTAATCTTGTATTTTCCGGGAGGGCGGCGTCCTGTTGCGCCACTACTCCCCCAACGCGCTTTATGTTGAATAAGTGCGTTATTTTGTAGGTTCTCGTAGGAGTATAGTGCGCGAGAGCGCGTGATAGGAAGTTAACGAGCGACGCTAGATATAACTAGAGACCTCTAGCGGTCTGTATCGTTACACGTAGAATCAAAGATTCAAAGCCGTGAGGAAAAAGCAAAGGATGTTGCAAAAGGAAGACAAGGTATGGTACTTGTATGTTGTTATGATCTTCAAGCAGTTTTGCAAACGCCCTGTGGGGAAGTAAATATGCTTTATTACAAACGAAAGTTAGGAGTATATAATTTTACTGTACACGAAACTTCATCAAGACATGRACTTTGTTATGTGTGGAGTGAGGATAAATCCAAGAGGGGTGCCAATGAAATTGCATCATGTCTATGGAAATATTTAAATAATTTAAACTCCATTACTATATCTACCAATTATATTCTACTCTGGCCAAAATAAGAACAAATAGGTATATTGTATKTCTAGTCTATACATGCTTGCTACCATGAAGTTTCCTTCAATAACCCATTTTTAGTCTGCGACCACTCACAAAATGAAGGTGATGCAATGCATGCATGCATTGAAAAAATAAAAAAATAAAGTTCTTAAAAGTGGACCAATTTATGTCCCTGATCAGTGGATTCCAGTTATCAGTATGGCTAGAAAGTCAGAAGCATATTTTGTAAATAAAATGACAACAAATGATATGATAGATTTTAAAAAATTATGTGGACAAATTGGCAGTAATTTTAATGTTAATAAAGATAACAAAAAGGTATGGTGGGGAAAAATCAAAATTATAGAAGTCCGAAAAGAGTCACCATCTAAAATATTTTATAAAGAACTGTCTGAAAATACTTTTAAAGTTATTGATGTTAGAAAAGAAAAATTAAGAGGACGAAGGCCAACAGTAACTCCAACAGATCTATCCTTAAACTTGGCATATTCAAGACCACCTGGGGTAACAATGCAAAAAAAAAAGATTTATCAAGTCTTTGTGAAGCAAATGTCATTCCAAACATTTAACAAGAGTTTTATAGAAACCCAAGTACAAACCTAACAGCAAATTCGGGTGATGAATAAAATTGGGTATTCATTTTTTTTTAAACCACAAAGAGACTAAAGAGAAGTCTTAACTTGTGATACAAAATATCATTTTTTTTTTTTTTTTTTTTGATTTTATTAATTTAATTTTAAGTTTTTCTTGTTAATTCTTATAATATTATTATTATTATTTTATTACTAGATTATGTTTTATTATAAACTTGAAAAGACTGTAATTATGTTTGATAATTTAAGTTTTTCTTGTTGACCCGGCGTAGGGAAAGTGGCGCCCCATCGCCCAGTACATCGCATGATGCACTGCAATAGCCACCACAACGATCTGAAAAGGTCGAAGTGGTCTGGTCCTCCAGGTTGGGGGTTTGGCGACGGGCTAACAACCCGTCCCAATAAAAGAACTACTGTTAAGAAACCACAWCCAACTAAGCCTCGGATACACGTATTACCTGGAACCCCTTTTGGAAATGGAAAAC